TAATATAAGGAATAGCAAGAATCACAAAAAGGTTTATAAACTGCTGTACTGCTGTACACATAGAAAGTTCCAGCCATCGCTATTTGGCCCACTGCTGTTTTAACAATGAGGTTGAGATCAGCAGTTCCACAATGTGCTTCCACATAGTGTTTACATCGAAAGTGTAGTAACATATTATCATCACAATGGATGTTACAGTACTGCCTGTCAGTAGGGAGGCTTAGGCAGAGCTGCTGAAGCTTGCTCCCATGGTAGACTATAGCTTCAATATAAATGAGTAAACTAAGGGGGTCTATTCACAAAAGAGTGAAGAGTTTGGAGAAGGCAGGAGAAGTGAACAATCTAGTACAACATAGCTGAACAGGAAAGTGAGCTGAATTGGAGAATTTTTCTAAATCGGCTATTTTGTCCTAGATTATTCACTTCTCCTGCCTTCTCCAAACTCTTCACCCTTTAGTGAATAGACCTGTAAATGTGAGATTGAAGTCTATCATGGGAGCAAGCTTGGCGCAGTGGCTACTTCACAACATACACAGGCAGGGGTGTATCTGCCGCGAGGCAAACAAGGCGTTTGCCTCGGGCGGGAGATTCCCAGGGAGCGGCAAAAATGCTGCCCCAAAAACATTTAGGCAGCCGGTGTACGATCAAAAGTTCCCGGGCTGCACAGAAACCGACAGCCTTGCGGGGAGGAAGCGGCGGGCGGTGGAGCAGGAGGAGACAGGAACGGAGCGTCAGGAGTCAGGGTGCGGAGATGGGGGCGGGGATGGAAGTGGCCGAGTGAAGACGGAGCGGCAGGAAGCAGTGGGCGGACACAGAGGAGATGGGGGCAGAGATCGAAGAGACGGGTGAAGACGGAGGAGGCGGGGGGCCGAAGACTGCAACAGAGGAGGCAAGGACAGAGACTGGTCAGCGATGGAGGAGGCGGGAAGCGTCGCCCAGGCTCCAGTCGGGGGAAGAAGCTGAGACGATTTGGCGCTGAGGCAGTGGAGGAGGCTGGGTTTCCTGTGCCAGGTAGGTGGACTGCGCTGGCAGTGCCCAGCATAGGTTTTGCACAGCCCACCAAAGAGTCGCAGGTAGGCTGTGCAATACCTTCTGGTGGGTTTTGCAGGAACTGTGGGGGACTTTTCATGATCCTTAGGGGGCTCTGCAGCCTGCAAAGCCCACCACAGAACTTGCACAGCTCCCCTGAGATCCAGCAGACTGCAGGGTTTGAGGGGGTCTCTGAAGGAACTGTGGGGGGCTTTGCATGATCCGTAGGGGACTCTGCAGCCTGCAAAGCACACCACAGATCTTGCACAGCCCCCCTGAGCTGCAGCAGATGTCAGGGTCCCAGGGGGTCTCTGCAGTAACTGTGGGGGGCTTTGCATGATCCGTAGGGGGCTCTGCAGCCTGCAAAGCCTACCACAGATCTTGCACAGCCCCTCTGAGATCCAGCATACTGCAGGGTCTCAGGGGGTCTCTTCAGGACCTGTGGAGGGCTTTGCCGGGTCTCAGGGGGGCTTTGCAGGATCTGTGGTGGGCTCTGCTGGGTCTATGGTGGGCAGAGCCCATTACAGATCCTGCACAGCCCCCCTGAGATCCAGCAGACTGCGGGTGCCACAGGGGGTCTGTGCAGGATCTGTGGGGGGCTTTGCAGTGTCTCAGGGGGCTGTGCAGGATCTGTGGTGGGCTCTGCCCACCATAGACATCGCAGAGCTCACCACAAATCCTGCAAAGCACCCATGAGATCGCAGCTTTCCTGCAACGCTAATAGCGTAACATGTCAAAAGCTGGATACAGCGTGTGTACTGTATCCAGCATCTGACAGGTTATGCACAAAGTATTAAACAGGAAGTGGTGGGAGAAATTTAGTGTGTATGGGGGGGGGGGGGGGGGTGCCCGAGTTTTGCCTTGCCTAGGGCAGCCCCAAACCAGAATACACCACTGCACACAGGGACCATGAGGAACAAAGTAGCCGCCCTCCAGAAGGCAGGATAATTTCAGCAGAACTCAGAGTTGAATTGAGGATCTACAGCCGAGTGATACACAAATAAGTTACATTTTTGTTAATAGTTAGGATACTTGATGGCATTTTTAAGATTTAACTCCTGAGCTTAGTGTCACTTTAAGCAACTGCCAGGGAGACAATGCAAAGCATTGGGCAGCCTCAATGCCCCACCTGCTGGCAGCCAAATGAGAACTGAGCCATTAGAGTGTATGTGTTGCTAGATTAGTCATTTGCAGATGGGGAGCTTGATAGGGGTCAAATTAATCAACCTGTACATGTATAGCACAGAATCTCACTCCAGACAGTACTAGCAGAACCTAGTCAAAGATATGTGAGTGAATGCAAATCAGTAACCCCCTCCAAGTCCACTACATGTGATTTAAACCTTTTTTTACATATACACCTTTTATTCAGGATCTCCTGGCCGGTCAAGAGATGTGCGATAGGTGTTGCTAACCCTGAACCAAAACCTGAACCTGCAGCTAAACCTGAACCAAAGATGACCAATTAGACTGCTGTAGATGAGTTCCGGATTACAGTCAAGCAGTTTGTGTATGGGGTAATGCTTATTGTTAAATCATAGTGATGTGTGTAATTGGTAGTTTGTGCACAGAACACAGACAAAAAAACACATTCTTGAAGGCAGGATTCATTTCTAGCATCAACATGCACAATCCAGGCAGACACAATACTATTTACATTACATATTTATTACTGAATGTTGTGCTTGGAAACTCCCAGAGCCACACACTACTTATTGTTAGCATTGCTTTCATCTGTCACTTTACTAGTGGAAGTGTGATTGTTTATGGCCAGCATTAGAAACAAAAGTATGTATTTTTGATATATTAAGTACAATACAACAACAGGTATGGCTGGGTGGGCAGAGGGATTTTAAACATCAAAAACAAAACACCTGCTTCTTAATTATACATCTTAAATAATACACTATGGTGCATATTATTTTATTTTCATTGGAATGTTATGGCCACAGCTTTTATCAAATAACAAGTAACAAATAATACCAACATCATGAAAGCACCAATTGTTCAAAAGTACATTCATGCTAATACAAACAATAAAGCCAAGTCCTTGACAGTGCCAACTAATGTTATGCTCCCTTGTAAATCACCAGTCACCAGCCATTCACAACCAGTTTGGTACCTACACGTCAATCATTTTACACATATGTTTATCTGGAATAAACCTTAGTAATTACTTCCTTCATGAACACCACATAATTAGGCATATTTAATGACATTAAAGGAGAACTATGAGGTAAGTGATTTTCACTCAACCTCATAGTTCGAGCCGACGTGTGACAATTAAACTGTCGACACGATCGGGAAGTAAGCGAACACTTACCGTTGCTCGCTCACTTCTCGATCATGTCCCTGCAAAGGGCCGTGACTGTCACTCACAGCTCCCTGCAGGGATTCCCCGCTCCGATCCTCCAGCGCTGACTGGCGGAACGGACTGGGAGGGGGCAGGCACAGCTAGATAGGCAGAGCCAGCTGTCAATCACGCTGCTGGGTGGATCTCGACAGTAATGTTGAGATCCATCCCGGCTGCGGCGGTCTCAGTATACCGCGAGCTGTAGCTCGCGATATACTGAGCTTTGGGTCACGGGAGGACCCAGGCTAGTTCATGTCCTCTCGTGACCCTTAGGAGAACTATGGGGAAAAGCACTGACCCCATAATTCTTCTTTAAGGTTAAACTACCCTACCAAACATTACAAAAGAGCTTACTTTTTTTTTGCACCATTAAGAGTCTGCCACAACATTCAGAAATTGACAGCTCAATTCCAAATGCTGCACCACAACTGCAAAGGCATCAAGAATAAAACTCATTAAGATCAACAATGTTATCACTAAAGTTGCCCAAATCTATCTCCAAAAGTCAGTGATGATCTGCAATACTGCCTGTTAGTTGGTTGAATTTTGACACTGCCTTATTTACTTTGATTCAGGACCTATTTAAAATAGAATAATAGAATAATACAAACATATTGATAAGATCATTTATATCTATATACCAACATATTGATAAGATCATGTATATCAAGCCAACCTTTCACATGTTTTCTAAAAAATAAAGCAAAAATGCAACAACTATACATTCCCTTTAACAGTCCTTACACAAACTGAGGTTGACCAGTGGACAAGTGCTTCTGTAATAGGTTACCCTCTTTTTTTTTTTTTAAGAATGAAAAGCAATACTGTAGGTGAAAGGGTGCTTTATAAAATTCATGGTACATGATCTTTTCAGAGACCTTCACATATACCTGTTGTTGGTTTTTTAAAATTCAATAGTAAAGACAATGTTGAGTGCAAAAAACAATAACCCGTAATAACCTGGGTTCAGTTTACTGTAGACAGACCAGTGTAAGATTTCTGACTGGTTGTTGTATGTTACTAGACTTTGCACATTAGTATTTGCCTTGTTAGATGAGGTCATATGCTCCACACAGGATCCATCTTTCACAATGTTTAAACAACCCTCATTATTCAAAGAGATAAAGCAATTATATTCACTTTTCCCACAGCATTATTTACTTTATACAGGCTATAATAAGTCATCATATATATATTTAAAACTGTCCAAAACAAAGCCAGTAAAATAATGTATCAGGCAAGGTTAACTTACAGCTTAATGCACCTCTTTATACAACCATTTTATGTAATAGTTACATGTCTTTATGTTAAAATCATATAGTGTCTGTTCAGAAAATGACAACTTGAATTCGGCATTTAATAAAAAATAATCTCAGAGCAAGAAATCTAACAATGATCCTTGTTTCTTTTTGCATAAGAATCTCCAAGAAACAATGATCTTACTTGTTTCATATGACATTACGCAACTTTAATCTTCCTTGATCTAGACTGAAATCCGCAGCGTGCAAAGAGGTTTCATGAGAGTTGTTAACTAACGCTGGAGAACCAATTTGTTCCAAATCTGATTCATTAATAAGAACAAAGCTCAATGGTCCTCAGTTCTTTCAATGAAGCTGGTACAGCAAGAACTGCTCAGGGGAACTAGTCAGTAGGAATACTTATAAGGCTGCTGGATCATGGCCACAATTTCTCACCTTCTGTATCACTGCTCAATATTTATATGGTATTTTTCGCTCGCCTATTTACTTTTAAGTGTTAGTCTAAAAGATCCGCCGGCTGGAGTCTTCCTGTACGGTGGACAGTGGAAGTACTTGACAGTACTGAATGTGGTAAGGATTCACTTTTCTTTGATGGCTTTTTAAATTGACCTATAGTATTTACCAATATGGAAGTAGGATTTTTATTGGTTCATAAGCTGTAGATGAAGTGCAAATGTGACAAAGGCTTTTTTCTATTGGCTAAGAATTTTACTATGCAGAAAAAGTAGATAGTGGCAACGGGGTGATTGGTGTGTCTGCTCCTAGTTCTTTTAAATCCATTTACTATACACATATTTTATTATTTTTATTTTTATTTAGATACAGATCTACATATTACAAATTACATTGCAAGTATTTTAACACACGTTGTTGCAGATCCTGACCACTTTTCTGTACTGCAGGAAAACTGGTTGTTTCACAATGTCCTTTCCAGACTGTTCCAGAATAGGAGGGTTTGTGTTCATTATAACCATCTGGTGCACTTTCAGTGTGCCTATGAGGAAAGCTGCAATCCCTATAGAAGTAGTTATCCCTTAGGGATTATGTCACCAAAAATGACATTTATATTGCAAAGGAATGCCTAAAATGTTACTTGTATCGTATTACAGACGTCTGGTAAAATCTGTCAGCCAATCACACAAGCAGGAAATTACATTTCTGGGGGCATTCCATACACTAACCGTGTCCAGAAATCCTCCAGGTTGCCATACAGCACTGAATTTTTTGAATAGTTTTAGAAAATTACATAACAGAAATACAAAATGCAATAACATTTATAGGGTTATTCACTAAAGGGTGAAGAGTTTGGAGAAGGCAGGAGAAGTGAACAATCTAGGCCAAAATAGCTGATTTGGAAAAATTGTTCAATTCAGCTCACTTTCCAGTTCAGCTATGTTGTCCTAGATTGTTCACTTTTCCAAACTCTTCACCCTTTAGTGAATAACCCTCTAAATTACTAAATGGTTTGTGTAGCAATTTTATATGCTATAATTTTCTTTAATCAAGTGAAGTTTTCCAATAAATTATAGATGGGGCCTGGAGGGCTGTGCCAGCCCCTGGCTTCTTATGTTTTCAATCCCCTAACAGAAGGATCTGTCAGAGTTCCCTATTCTCTTTCTACCCACCTGGGAATTGTGGGTCTACCTGCTAACCTTTGTGTGTTTCACCACCTCCTATTCTGCTCTTCATGATATATGATAAAAAGAAATCCAGGTAACAGGGAAAGGAGGACCCCCTCATAACTGACACAGCAGATCGTGGAACTCTTTATTGCTCTCTTTTTATTCTTCTTTACTATGAAGTCATTCAATTTTTTTACTGGTTGGCATTAGCAGTCTGCACATAAAAAAAGCCTTTGGGCGTCCAGTGAGCAATGGCTGTACTATGTGCATAAGATGTACTTAAGATGTACTTCCTCAATGCAGTGACATGATTTCACTCGGCCCTGTAATATGCACGTCTTTGGGTCACAACTCTAATAGAGCCTGCTTTCTTGACTACAACTCAATGCCTGAATAATGTAACAATATCGTTGTTTGCTGGAAGCAATGCATGATGGACTATGTAGCCTTGCAAAACTGAGATTGCAGGGACATCCTTACCATCTTCTCTTGACTTGTATTGTCTTCCTAATATTGTAATGTGCTGCACAAACTGTTGGCACTATATAAATCATGAATAATAATAATAATAATAACAAAGCAGCAAGTAAAGAGATGCAAAGCACACTGGGAATCCAAGAAGATGTTGAACGTGATGGGCAGACAGAAGGTAGCACGCAAGTAAACTTTGATTGCATTATCAAAACAACTGTAGTATGTATTCCTAATACAAACCTGATGTTATATCAGGATAGTGCATACTGGCACTTTACAACTTCTTTAACCCTGCCCAAATAACATCAGAATCAGAAAATGCTTAAGTTCAGAAAAAGGTTAAGTATTAATGATAATAGCCTGGGGTGATTTTTACAATAAGCCAAATATAGAAATATTTACATGGGAAGCATCTTTGTTTTTTTCTTAATTTTCTAGAATGTAATTTCATCAAAAATGTAAAAAACAATAAATAAGATATCTGACAAATGTAAATATGAATTTCACTATTAGGGTGAACTAAAAACTACAATGAAAAAAATTTCAGAATTCAGAACGGCATTATCAGACATTCAGAATTCTACTGTATTACACAGTGCTATCACTTTAACACTGTGGACAAGCTTAGAGGAATGGAGAGCACAGAGATGTGCGTTGTGAGCTTCTCCTACATTGTCAATTCAGCAGACTAGCCATGAGCAGGTGACACTGTTGTATTTCTTAACTGTAACAAAGAAAGTGGTGTCACCCTCTTGGTTATGCAGTGTGATATAGGAGAGTGAATTAAAGAAGTGGCTCAGCAGAATCACAACTATATCAGAAGGTAAAACTGTCCACATGCATGTATTTCAATTACATATTTTGCTAATATAGTGCAATATTCTTTTTTTAAATCATTACCAAATCCAATGTTTATACAATAGAGTTGTTCTCTCTAAGGGGCATATTTATAAAGTGACAGCAAATACATGCTCTGGCAACAATGTGATGTCAGCCCACCCAATATCTAAAGCTGAGCTCCAGGTTGATATTAAACATGATTGAATGAAGTTTGTATTTTATAAAATCATGATATTTATTTTTAACTACTTCGCTACTGAAACAATCTTTTTCATTTTATGCACAAATATTAAAATCTCAATATATGGCTAGAAAACAGCTTAAAACCCTAAAACAATTATATATTTTCTGAAAGTAGTATATTTGCACAAATGTTTATCAAAATTATTTTTTAGAAATAAATACACTAAAAGGAAACAGTACACAAACCTAATAATACATTTATAAAATTTGAAAGATGGGGTTGCGTTGGATAAATACTTACCAAAGATGTTAAACCTTAAAATTGCATGCGCCTGTGAAATGACAAAAAACTATGCTACTCCAAATTGCCCCTTAATCCAAAAGTGGTGCTTTAAAAGCCTTTATTACTCATCAGTTTAGAGTTAACAGTGAGTGGTGGCCCTAGAATTATTGTGCTCACTCCGATGTGTTATGTGGGTGGTGCAATTGTCGTTTTTGCACGTAGGCACTCCTGGCGTATGTTTATGTTTTATGAATGTGGAAGTAGAGGGCTTTATGTTAACTTTTTTTTTTATATGTAACTTTTTATGTCAACTTTTTAACCTTTTTTTTTTTTTTACACTTTTTTGTTCTATCACATGGGGGCTGGTTAGCACAGGTGGCAGGTCCTTTTTATTAAGTTCAGCTCACTTCACTTCGGTTCGGTTATTCACACAGCTGCCTTTGGCAGCTGTGTGAAGAACCCTCTAAGAGAGGAAGGGCCAGTATTTGGGGTCAATCAGGTGTGCTTCAAAGACATGTACTGACAGGGTACCTGCTGACGGGTGAATCTCATCACTCTTCTGTTGCTCCTTCCCTGTCAAGTCACAAAAAGGGGGAAGGGAGAAAATCTAGTTCTGCTGCTTGATAGAAAAATCACTCGCACTCCAATGAGATTTTCAATCAATGTTCTTTATTGACAAAATAATTGTCACAACATATAGTTATACGATGTGACAATTCCTTTGTCAATAAAGACATTGACTGAAAGTCTCATTGGAGTGCGAGTGACTTTTCAACCACGTAATACTGTTTTGCAGAGGCTTCTGGTGTCATCTCGGCACCCACCCATTATCTTGGGTTATATCTAGTAAGGAGTAAGATGGAATCTATTTGAATTACTGGTCCTGTTGCTGACTCGCAGCAAAAAAATGTCAGGTCACTAGGTTGTGACAGAACCGTTTAAATTTCAGGGTTGGATGCTTTTTTTTTTTCTTCTATTAATAAAAATTGTCAAATTGGCATGACAGATAATAAATAATAATGCAATAACGTGCCACCTCAACCTGGTATACTTGCAAATAAATGTGTTCTGCAGATGGGTGATGCATGTGCAATTAAATGCTAACGAAGATTCAAATGTGCAGGGCAATCTCACAGCAGAATGGGGTGAATGCCCTTCCTCCAGGGTGTATGGTCAAAATCTTTATAAATATGCCTTGCTACGGCCAGATCCTTCGGCAGCTTTGTGAATAGACCCCATAGTATTATAAAAATAACTTTCTATGTATGCATCAGACACTTTGTTCTTACTTTGCATCTTTAATGCATAATCTTAATAGATATTAATAAAAACAAAATTGTGCCTGTTTGTTTAAAGGTGGAAATATAGATGGCATGTATTACAGTGCTGTAATAATTGTCTACTCTCATATCTGACAATGGAATATGATAACCAAGTAATGCTTCAGGATCCTGTGTTCATGTCCCACTTGGGAGTGTGCATGTACTTTGTATCACCTTCCAGTATTTATGTTGGCTTCCTCTGGGTACTCCAGTTCCCTTTAATGATCCAAATACATATTTGTAGTTTAACTGAATTCTGATCCCTTTGTCTCTAGAGTATGTGTGTTTGACTTTAGCAGGATCATTTGGGCACTCTTTCAAAGGCAGGGAGTATTGGGAAGTTTTTTTGTGTACTTTCTTAAAGAGGAACTCCAGGATTTTAAAAAGTTAACCCTTGCTGTGGGGATACCCCCACACTGCTAGGATTAACTGCTTGTTTTGGTCTCGGGGTGCAATTAAAGAAAAAATACTTACCCGATCTTTGGTCCCATTGAGAAAATCTCTCCAAAGTTAGAAAAATATTAAATCCTCTTTAAAGGCTCATTCCCACTAGCCCGTGCACTCATCGCACTGTCCTGCACCCAGAATGCAAGGGATAGCATACACAAAGGACGGTACGTTCCTGAAGTGGCTGGAAAAGAAACTGATGAAGAAAAATCTATACTTCATCAGCTTCTTTGGGGTCCATAGGTGACATTATGGGTCTAATAGACCTCTGATAATTCCATAAAGTTGACCTGTAATTTCCTCTATTCTATTACCTAGTGCCTTGTTAGCCCCCCTATGGGATAGCAATAAAGTTATGTGTCAAAAAAGTTTTTAAATTTAAAGTTATTTAAATTTTAAATAAAAATATTTTAAAGCCTCCTCTTCCCCTGCCCACACACACAGATACACGTTGGGTGCGCCTACATGCAAAAATTGCACCACACATGTTACATATCGATGCAAAGATCATAGTGAGAGCAATAATTAAAAGTGCTGTCACTCACTGTCAACTCTAAATTGATGAGCCTATGGGCAGTTTTGGGTACAGTAGTTCATTGCCATTTTATGGGCACATGCAATTTTAAGGCTTCACATGTTTGATATCTATTTTGCTGACAAAACCCCATCTTTTATTTTCCTAAAAATAGCTATTATATTCTGTTTGTGTGCGCTAACATTCATTTTAGTGTATTTTTTCCTAAAAATATTGATTAGATAAACATTTGTGCAAATATCACTGCAACCAGCATTTTTTTTAATTCTGCATGGCTTTTGCTTTTAGAAAATATTTAATTGTTTGGGAGTTGTAAACAGTTTTCTAGCCCAAAATTCAAAATTTAACATGTGTGTACAAATATTAAGAAATTGCACTGGATGCCAAGTGGTTAATCAATTATGCACCAGATACTGATTCATTTAATAATAATAATAAT